AGAGAGAGAGAGAGAGAGAGAGAAAGAGAAAGAGAGAAGAGAGAGAGAGAGAGAGAGAGAGAGAGAGAGAGAGAGAGAGAGAGAGAGAGAGAGAGAGGGGGGGGGGGATAGGGAGAGGTGTGACAAAAAAAAATAACGAAATGAGAAAAAGAGAGAAGGGGAGAAGGGGAGACATAAAGAAGGAGACAGAGAGGAAAACGAATAAATAGTGAGCGAGAGGCACAACCTACATACATCGTTATTTATCCACATGCACAGTGCATCTTATATATTTGTTGAAGCACACATCTTCAGTCTAGACACGCACACATATAAGCATGGGTGTATTTCCACGCCAGGCCACATTCTATTCTTTACCCATTAGCGAATTCGGATTGTGAACACTAGAACATGCACACGCTCTGCCATTCCGCCGTGGCAAGTGTCCAAGTCAGTGACACATAAATCCACTCTTTCATCGCAATTCAGGGTTTCGGATGACACGTCTCGCCCCCCCTCCCCCTCCCCAAACGGACCTCGCGAACTGACCTTTGCCCTTTGACCTATGACACACAGCTTCTAATAGAAAAAAAAGGCTGTATTTCTTTAGTTACTTTGATATAAGACTTTGATCTGTAAGTAATTAAGATATGATGTGTAGATTTTCTTACTGGTTATTCGATTTTTTTTCTTCCCATTTTGACACTGTTCTGCTGCGGCCATAAAGACAAAATGGGTAACATGATATGAAATATTATCAAGTAACTTTTTAATCCACACACACAACCTACACGGCAGCCGTTCCTGCAATTTATATCAGATGTATATCCTAAAACATTAAAATCTTCCCCTACAGTAGATACGAGACACTTCACACGCCACTTAATAAAACCAAATACACCTAACACCGCAGTCGTTACTTGCATAGCTAACAAACAAACACCATACGCCACAACCATTTACTAAGACAAACAACCAACCACACTTCCTCCAACAAGTCAGCCAGTACTTAAAATAACTACCCAGCAACACTACTGTCACCTACACTAACTACCGAACACAACAACCAGTAATTAGAATAAATGCCTAACAACACTACCATTCCTTGCCTTAACTACCCGTCCTACAAAACAACCAGTACTTAAAACAACTACCCACCAACGCAACCATCGCGTGCACTAGCTACCGAACAAGCCAACCAGTACTTATAATACTACCCAGCAACACTACCATCACGTACAGTAACCATTCTTTTACCTGGTTCCTCGTCATGTTGGTCCGGCTCGCCAGCTGGTCCTTCTGTTCCTTCGACGGATACGGGTGAGTGAAGTGGGTGACGAACCATCTTCCAAGGTGGTAACTGCGCGCCTTCAGGAACTCGCGACTCCTTCGCTCTCTCGTCAGGAGGAATTGCCTGTAGGAGGGAGGAGGAGGAGGGTGTTGGTTGAGATAATGAAATTATGTCAGTAGTAATAATAATGATAATGATGATAATGATGATAGTAATGATTATCATAAAACGGACGACAACAGTAATAAAGCTGATAATGATAATGATATAGCTAACAATAAAGATAATGATTCCTGGTGTTGCTAATTATAATGAAAATAATGTTAATGATAATGATTACACCAATTATAATTCAATGATAATACTAATGCCATTTAATTAGAATCATAATGATAATGATCATATTAGATATGGTTTAACAATAACAATGATAGCAATAACAAAAATTATTACATTAACAGTGAGTGCTATATGGCCTTTGATGTATAGCACATTTATTTGTTTCAGCTAGTAACTATTAGCCATGATAACTGTGACAGTGATGAAAATTATAATATTAAATGTGATAATGACAACAATACAAATAATGATGACCAAAGAAATAATTATGATTGTGATAAAGATAATAATAATAATGAAAGAGAAAAAAAACTGATAATGATAACGGTATCATTAGTAAAACGAGCAACGGCAACAATAATGATGATAATGATAGTAATAATAATGATTACAGTAATAATGATAATGATAATACTACTACTAATGATGATGAATGAGAATGAGGATAATGTCAAAATAATAATAACAATAAACGATGAGAAAATTACAACAATTATGCTAAAGAAAAATAGTAATGATTATAGTGATAATGATACCACTAATGATGACCATAATGATAAAATTAATAATAATAGTAATAATCATTTTTTTATCATCATTGTTACTAAAATAATACTAACTATCATTGTTATTACCATTATTATTGTTATTACTATTACTACTATTATCACCATTATTGTTATATTATCATTATCATCATAATTATTATTATTAACATTGTTGTTATTATTATCATCGTTACTATTATTAAGGCTGTTATTGTAATTCATATAGTGATGATAATAATAATGAAAATAATAATAATAATAAAAATAATAAAATTAGTAATAATAAAGATTATCATTATCATTATCTTTATCTTTTATTATCATTACTATTATTATCATCTTTATTATATAGATTTGATTTTATGATAACGATAATAATGGTAGTGATAATAACAATAATAATTAGGATAACGTTACTATTTATTATAACAATAGTAATGATGATGGTAATGATGAGGATGATGAGGATGATGATGATGGTGATGATGATGATGATGGTAACAACAACAACGATAATGATAATAACAATAATAATAATAATAATAATAACAACAATAATAATAATAATGATAATCATAATCAAATCACTATAATCATAATAATGACAATCACCTTTGCAGTAGTACCAGAAATTTAGACAAGGTGATGTAAACAGCAGTTTTAATATCAACTGTAATGATAAGAGCAAAAGAAAGTGGTAGACTGCTTGTCTTACTGGCAGTTCATTTTTCATGTTACAGAGTACTGTTTGTTTAACTTTAACTATTATTAATATTATCACTATCATTAGCAATATCATCATCATTATTATTGTCATTGTTGTCGTTTTTGTTGTTGTTTGTTATTATTCATCATTATCAATGTTATAATTGTTATTATTATCTTCATAATACTGGTATTCATAGCAGTAAAAGCAACAATAGTGTAGATAATAACGACAGTGATAATGAGAATGAAAATTATAATAATAATAATAATAATAATAATAATAATAATAATAGCAATGATAATAATACTAGTAATGATGATAATGATGATGATAATGATAATGATAATTGAAAACAATAGGAACAATAATAATAATAACAACAACAACAACAATAATAATAATAATAATAATAATAATAATAACAGTGATAATGGTAATGATAATAACAATAACAATGATGATGGTGATAATGATGATGATAAAGATGAAGGTAGTGACGATATTGATAATGAAAATAATATTAATAGTAAACATAACAATAACAATAATAGTATAGGATAACACGCCTCATTTTTTCTGATAATTCTCCTTTTCCTCTGCAACATAAAATTACAGAAAACCATCTCGACATTTTGGCGCGCGTTCGCAAGGTCATCCCGGCTGCGTTCACAAGCATCGGTCTCGTCCATTGGCTAAAACGTTGCTTATACGTAACTGATCTGTTTATTAGTTTGATTTAACTCTCCCGCGATATTATTAATCCGCTTGAGATGCTTATCTAAATAATCATATCAACAAGAAGGAGACATATTTATCTAAACTAATATTAATAAGGAGAAAAGCATTCATCAATTGATCCGACCAAAATACACACGGGGTTATTTTCACCGAGACAGCTCGTGCATCGGGTAATAACACCGAGGGAGAAATTCGAAGCGAGCCAAAGAACTAAGAATATAATCGCTTAAATAATGGTTATAATTCAGGCCATCTCGTGCAGTCATAGAAGAATGAATGCAGAGTGTGGAGATAATACATATTATCAGACAATCTCTCCTTGTAACATTGGCGTTGTTGCTTACATAATTTCCCTCCCGAGTCTTTCAAGGAGGAATTTTCGGTAAAGAAGCCAACATATCTGCAATCTGACTCTCTCTAAGTTTAAGCTTAAGTTTAAAAATAGTTTAAAACAGCGACTTAAATGCAAAACATGCACCGCCGGTTCATTCATGATATAAATCCTGGCAGTGAACCGGGGTTCAGTCTGAAACGAAGAGAAGCGTGTCACTTATTTTCTCCTTTTTTTCGTCTGGCTTTTTTTTTAATGCTAAATATGGAACTCTTTAGATATTCGCGGCAACATAGAAGAAAAAGGGAATATATATATAAACATACACACACGTACACATACACAAACTCACATATATATTAATCATACTCTACGGACGCACACAGGCAATGATTTTTTTGGCATTTTTGTTTTGTGTTTCAGTGAAGTTACTTGAGTATATGTATGCATATGTATGTGTATATATTCTCCCTTTTTCTTCTTTTTAAAGGATTACTGGTAGGCTGTTTCAAGTCTCTGAGTAAATGCATGTACAAATATGATTATGCATATAGTTGATCTACCATATGTGCCTTCATTATTTTAATTACGTCTGCTCCTGCGAAACATCGAGAATAACCATTTTGCATTTATTTTCTATATCCTTGGACTCGTCAAACTACAGATGTTGAATTTTTAATGAGTTTTATTTTATCAATGTTTATATATTCTAAATGTTTTTCGTGGTGTAACATTGATGTAATGGTGGAAGGAGACTCTTCTCACGCCCTTATTTCTTAATGAAGCAGCGCGACCGTGTTTACAAACCATTCGAGGATTTACCTGTAGCTGCGAGGACGAAGGCGCTGCGTCGCCCTCACGCCGTCCCGCGGGACGTCCCCCTCGTCATCCTTCCTGTCGGCGTCGAGATCCTCTTCTCCGTCGCTCCTGTCGATGCCCGAGGTCTCTTGGCTCTCGCGCATCCTCGAGCACTCATCTTCTTCTTGCAACAAACCCGGGCGCTTGCAAAACGGATTTTCACTTGCATGGGAAGCTCTGCTAGCGCTGGCCGTGTGTTCAGGTACTCTGGTGTGAGCGTGTTCTGGGGCGACTACAGCGCGGATGACTAGATTGTGATTCTCTGGACTAGCATTACTCAGCCCGGCCACGGCTTCTCCTTCGCTCTCCTTGCCTGTTCTCGAGCCTGCCTTCTCTCCCTCTTTCTCCCACGCTCCCTGATTATACACTTCGCTGTTCCGTGCGACGACTTCCCCTTCCTCGTCCTCCGTTTCCACGATGTCCGAGATGGGCCACGCCTCGTGCCTGCTGCCGTCGGCGCGCCTGCCTCCGCTGCCGCCCTCTTCGTCGCCTTCGTCTTCCTCGTCTGAGAAGGGGAATTCGAGCGCCACCTGGGAGGGCGACGTGATGTCGGACTTGGCTTCTGGCGTGACGCACGTGGCCAGCGTAGCCCTCTCTCCCTTCCACTTAAATTCATCTTTATCCTTTTTCCACCCAACGTCACGTCTCTCCTTTTTCCACTTGTAACTATTTTCCTTCTTCCATTTAACTTCACTATACGCTTTATTCCACTTGTGTTTATCGAAATCTCTCTTCCACTTGCCCCCTGCAATGTCTTTTTTCCAGTCACTCTCATCCTTGTCTTCCCTCCTCCATTCGTCACAGATTTTCCATTTGCATTCCTTGTAACTCTCCTCGAACCTAAAGGCGCACTTCCTCTCCTTGGCCTTGTCATCCTGCTGCTGCTTCCGCTGCTGCTGCTTACTCTCGAAGGCGTCGCCGCAGCTGTTCACCCCAGCGTCCCCCGTGCCGACGGGTCCTCCCGACGCAGTGTCGGAACGCACCAGCGAAAAGCGGGGGTGCTGCGGGAGCTGTAGCGCCGCAGCCGCTCCTGGGGGCAGGATCTTCTTAAAGTGTCGGTGAGGGCTGCACGGCCGCGCAGGAGGAGGGGGCGGCGGCGTCTCGGAGGACCCAAGCGAAGATCCTAGACCCACGCGCGGGGGCTCGGGAGAGGTACAGGCGTGGGGGTTGAAGAGCTGGTCATGGGCGCCAAGGGAAGACGGGCTGACATGGGCGGCACACGGGAGGTGGTGGTGGTGATGGTGGTGGTGCAAGCCGAGGGCAGGGGACGTGGCGTGGGCGGCGAAGGGGCGGTGGCGCGCGGAGAAGCCCTGGTGGTGCGAGGGGCTGAAGAGGCTGGCTGTGGTGACCGACTCCCCCGGGGCGGTTCCGTGAGGGGGGCGCACGAAGGCACGAATCGGCCCCATGACGAGCTCACATGGCGCTCTCGAGGAAACGATTAACCTAATGTTCTCTACCAGTCATATCACTGTCACACGTGTTGTTATATTCAGCAGCAAAGGCACTTTCAGAAGCTAATAAGCATAATCTCACTTTCTAACTCTTTGGTTGCAGGTCAGGTCAGGTCACAGCTCCTTCCAGCCAGGTCAGCGCGGAAGGAGCCCTTCAGTGTCGCCGCATACTGGCGCGGACAAGCGCTGGACCCTTGGACCTGCGGCGGAAATATTTGGGATTAGCAACATGGACACAGAGTTTAGTATGCCAGGACGGAGGCGGCAAGAGTGTGTTGGGGACATGTATGTACACTTTGGTTGTTGTTAAATGTGCATAGGTGATTTTGTGCAGGATAATGTATGTCAGAAAAAAAAGTATACAAAAGTTGTGCATAGTAGTAGGGTTCTAGTACATACGGTAATGTGTTTTGACATTCATTATACTGACGGCTTTGATACAAAACAACATAAATTGATTGATAGGACACGATGAAACACGTCCGATACATTTGAAAGAACGTGTGTATGTATGTTACGATGAGGGATACAGCATTCGTACGTGTGGACCCTGTGACCTTGATGATGCGCTTCACTTCTTACTCTGTAGATAATGTTTGTAGTATGTTTATGTGTGCATTCTCACGCAGAGTTATGTGATATTCGTGGTGCACTAACCTCATTACATATGCAATTCATGTTACCCTATGAAACAGCATTTAAACAGGAAATAATTCGCTTGAGTGCCATCGCGCCAGCCCCGGAGGGCGAAAGAGCCAAGCAGCGCGAAACAAGAGGCTTTATTACTCTCTCGTTCGACGTTTTCTGACACTAATAAGGCCACTGAGAACACCACCGAATGCATTGCAAACCGCGTACATCGTCGCCCTTCCCTGGCGTATGAACTGAGGGCATCGCGAACACTGCAGCTTATCCGATTCCTAGATATACTTATCCAGGGTCGGCTTGGGGGTTCCAGAAGGAGGGGCAGTGCGAGGGGGAGGGGGGGGGGCACAGGTGGCGTTAGTGTCCGCGGCACCCCACCTCGGGTGCCGTGCCCATGTTAGCCACACTGTGACTCCCACTCCTGCCGGCCACAGCACGGTCCTTAACACCCTCCGAGGGCGTGGGAGGCCCATGCCCGTACTCAGTGGTAGGAAAGGCGTGAGGGTATGCGGTATACTCACTATCGGGCGGTGGGTGGTGTGGGCGCGCGGGTGGTGGTATGTGCCATGCCGGTGCCGCGCGTGCAGGTCCCGGCGGGCCCTCACACAGTG